GCCCGAGGGGGGAAGCATGTTGTGGGATCCCCCATAATGCCCCTCTGGGAGGGCTGTATATAGTTATGGGTTGGCAGGGTTTTGGTGTGTTCAGTGTGTGCCTGTGTTCTGTTGTTGCTGTGCGGTTGCCAGAGGGCAGAAATAAAAGAGAAAAAGACAAGCTCAGTTCTCAGGCTCCTTTTTCCAGCAGCCTCCACTCCAGTATTATGCAGTATTTCATTCATGATTCTGATGATATGGCTTGTAGTTAACATCTACTCCGGTTTCGAATGAATGCTCTCAGAGCTGAATTGGTAAACCCAGAGTTAACAGAGCCAGCTGAATGCTGGCTTCATGACAGCAATTATCCAGGATCACCAATATAAGAGAAGCAGACAAGTTGAACTTGCTTTGTGGTACAAGCACCGGAAATTTGTAGGCAAAGGCACAAGCAGCCCAAGCTGACCAATCACAGACCTTACAGTATCTATGGGGCGGCTTCTATAGATGCAGTGTTACATTTTTAAGGAGGTACATACCAGCGGCAGTGCAGTTACGGTGACAACAAGCACTGACACACAGTGACGTGCTGTGAGGTTGACAGCTGGTGAGGCACTAACTCTTTTACAGTCAGATTTACAAATACAAATTGTCTGTTAACAGACAATGCGTTATGTTTTATATCTCATATCAACATTCTTCACACAAACGTGACCCATATTTAATTTGAGGATAAAATTTATTCCAGTTGAGCTTATTTCTAACTAGAAATAATAAAAGTTTATGGTCTTACCTTTACTTGTACACGAAATCCATTTGTCAGCTGGTATGTATTACAAACCCTTTTACCGTTCGAATCCAATATTAAAACAGATGTTTTCAATAAAGAAGATCCTTCTGGACAAAAATGTCCAGACTGTCTAAAATGTTCTGATTGAAAGTCCAGATTTGTGAATTTTCTCAGCTTGGAAATGTAATCTTCCATTTTGATAAGGCGGATTGTAAAGGAAATAAACAAGCACGAAGAAGATTGTAGGTAGCGCAAGAATCTGTGGGCTCACTAGCGCCCTCTGCCTTGAGGCAGGCGTACTGTTTGCCTCACCGAGTAACTTTTTTACTGGGTTTTATGGTTAATCTGGAGCCTAAACACGTTACACAACTACATTTTATACATTATCCAGATTATGGCAAGGCAGAGCATATAATCAGAGTGTTTGAAAGCATTTTATTTGCGATATATAGAGGGACAGCGACACACTATTGGCATCGCATACAATTTGTGAGGATTACACGATCCACCGAGAGGCACAGCAAAGTGCTGCCTCATCGTGCATCTCCTCCATGTATTTGAACGGGACATACGGAAATTCTGCTATTCTTTATTGAAAAAAAATCCTTCAACATCGGATTCGAACGGCAAAGGGGCCTACAACACACCCCAGCCGATAAATATTAACATGTATTATATTTTATGGTTAACTTTTTTTTCTTTTCAAGATTGACGGGGGAGGCTCTGCCTCACCTGCCTCCCCTGACCGCACGTCACTGCTGACACAGAAGCTATACCCTTAACTAGATTCCAGCTTTGGTGTAGACAAAGGCCCATAATGAAGAGAAGATAATGCATTTCAAGCTGCTTACTGTGAACATACTCACAGTCTCTCCAGTGGTAACCGCAAGCACCATCAGTCATGTTCCTCCACACAGTCACAGCAAAGAAAAAGCATTGTCACACACAAGCACTGTTGCAACACAATGTCTTTATCAAACAGGTACTGATGTTTCAATTAGAAACACAAACATAATTAATCTGCGTCTCAGTGCAAAGAAATTACTTGCTTTCTTTCTTTCTTTCTTTCTCCTCACTACTCGTGTGTGTGTGTGTGTGGGGGGGTGTGTGTGATCTCAGCTGTCACTCGGGTTTCAGGGGCCCCCAGTGTGAGATCAAAGAGTACAATGTGCTCTATGTGGTACCAGGATCTGGCAAACTGCACTACGTCCTCATTGCCTCTATCATTGGAGCACTCCAGGTGGTCATCATCTGTGTGGTGGTGCTCTGCATTACCAGGTGAGTCATGCCCTAACAAACACAAGCATTTTCCATGTTACAGTCACAGTCACTCTCCCAGTCACACAGGAGGATGTGGAGCTCCTGAGCCTGGAGGAAACAGCTGAAAGGTCACCTTGCTTACACCACAGAGAGGCAGCGCTGTCACTTTCCCTCAAGACACACATGCAGTGCATGCATGTAAGCGCAGATACACAGAGATATCTGTGTAGGCAAGCTTACCCACTTGTGCTTGAGCAGGCCATTTGTATTCACACACACACACACACACAACTGCAAGCTGTCTGCCTCCAGCTGACCTAAGCAATTTATGACATTTAATAAAACATTTTAAAAGAGTTTTGGCCAAGGCAAAATTGCTCCTTTGAGCAAAGGAGGGAAGGAGGGGGAGGGACAAAATGAGAGCGAGCAGTTGGAATGATGCAGAGTGAGAGGGTAAGGAGAGAGGATAAAGAAGGACAGAGAATTATAGCACTGAATACAGGTGCAGAAACATTAATGCATCCTTCTGCTGAGCCACATTCATTTGAAGCAAAAGGTAAAATAGAAATACAAAACTAGTGAGCCTTGTCCATCATACGGCACATGGCTTGTTACAGTGGAGTCAAATGAATGAATAAAGCTATAAAAGCAAACACCATTGCCAGGGGACTCACTCACATCTGTGCCCTGTCTCAGTTGGACCAGCTGAACTTCATGTGTTTAGTTTTATGAAAACTGAAAACAGTGATGTGTAAATCATCGGTGCCCTGTATGACGTTGAAAACAATACAGCAGCACATTATTTGATGTGACACCTCATCAACTTTATTTTTTGTTCAAAAAAAACACTCACCAAAAAAAGAAATTGGGACAGCGAGGCATTTACCAGTCCAGCTCTCACACCCGTTTCATAAAGCCTTTGTCATTTCCTTTAAATTTGGAACATAGCCTTTCTACTGAAAAACCACCACCCTCTTACAGTTCAGTGTTTATCATGGATCCAGTTAAAATGTGAAAACTTTCTTGCTAAATTAAAAAATGATGACTGTTTGTTCAGTAGCTTAGATGTACCTTCCTCTAATGGAGCAGACAAGTGACAAATTGAAGGGAAAGCCTGAATAACTGAGTGGAGAAGCCTAATGAATGCAGATGGTTTGTGTCCACTTGTACCTTTAGAGGGAAGGGCCACTGCAAATCAACACAAAGCTGTTCTGAGTCATCACCTTTATCCGCTGATGAAACAACTCCATGCTGATGACAGTGGTCTCTTCCAGAATCATTCCCCTTGTGTCCTGTGAATCCCCATTCACAGGACACAAGGGCTCACTGATTGGTCTGATGAGGATGAAAATGATGTGAATCAGATGCTGTGGCCTTCACAGTCACCAGATCTCAACCCAGTTGAGCACCTATGGGGGATTTTGGAGTGTTAGACAGTGTTTATGAACATGGTGTTCATCCCTCCAGTAGAGTTCAGAGACTTGGAGAGTCAATGCCAAGGTGCACTGAAGCTGTTCTGGGGTCATGTGATGGCCCAGCACCTTACTGAGACACTTTATGTTGGGTTTTCCTTCCATTTGTTACCCATCTGTATGGACTAGTCTGTCTTTGCTGCAACAAAAGTCATCATGAGAGAGGAGGAGTTGGTTAAAAATACTGACTTGCTCATCAAAGTAACCTTCCATTATTAACGTAAGCTCACAGCAATCAGTTTTATTAGGAGCAGTGAATGTTGCAGCCAGTTTCTACGAGGTTTCACCTCTCAGGCCACATACAGGTTGTTTTACCTTATTAGTTGGGACTGAACAAGCATTTTAACATCCTCTGCATTATGTTTTTATGTTAAAAAATGATTTATTCATTAGATTTGCAGGTAAAAACGTAACATTTGTTCAGTCAGGATGACTTTTTGGCTCTATAAAAGCATAACTGCATCAGAATGAGCTTTTACAGCTGCAGACTAGTGACATAGCTAAACACTGTATCTTCATGTACTTCTCACTCACCCTCTACTCTTTGTACAGGAAGTGCCCTCGAACCAATAGGATCAACCGGCAGAAGCAGAACAATGTACACTTCAGTTCAGAGAACACCATGCGCGCCTCCACCCGACTTATCTGAGCCCAGACACACCGGACAGAGTACCCCTCCACTTTGCGGAGAGCTGTGGTGTTAGATGTTCCCCTTGTAGGCCAACCTCGAATATTAGGATCTGCTTCCCCTCACTCCGCGCCTTCTCTCCCACTATGAACTTTAAGAATGCCCGGGGAGGACACTGGCAGAGCAAAGACAGAGCTGGAACACCAGTCAGTGGTGAGACTCACTCATGGGGTTAGTTGTCATGAGTCTTCGCCGCCAACCCCCCACGTGTCTCCTTGCACTTTGTCACTTCCGTCCAGGGTTTTTCTGACAAACTGAACCATGAGGTGTTTGGGGGCATGGAGGATACTGAATGTGTGTGTGTGTGTGTGCATGTGTGTGTGTGTGAGAATGTGTATTAGATGTGTGAGCTTTGGTAGAGGCGAGCTAGCCGGTGTCTCTTATTTGTAGATGAGGGGTTAAAGCAAATTGGGGTAGTGCAAAGCAGGGTACTGGGCTTTAAATGAGGTGTGTGTTGTTCAGTCTGGGAGGGGGGTGGGGGGTTTTGGGGCTACACGTGATGCCTTGCACCTTGTGTTATAGGAGACCTTTGACAGAGGGCACAATGTTATTGTAGAGCTCTCTGTTCGGTTGTGACGATGACGTCAGCTACTGTATCTTGGGTTCTATTTCCAGTAGTTACTACTACGTTGTCTTGATGGGGTCATTTTTCTGTAAATGTAAATAAATAATTTATATCACGAAATGTAACCTGATGCGTCTGCCTCTGTTGTTTATTGTGAAATTCATTTTATTCTTTAAGACACATTAATTTAAAACAATTGTGTATCTATTAGAACTGGTGTCACCTGGAGACAGATTACAAAGTAGATAAAACCGGCTTGACCTTGACCATTAAGATGTTGCTCTGCATTAAGTATATTTACTTTTGATACCTTAAGCACATTTTACTAATACCTTTATGGTACATTTTTGGTGCAGGTGGTTTGCTTTTAATAGAGTATTTAATGGAGTGCGGTACATTTAATTAACTTACTTATTACTGATCTGAATCTGAATAGCTCATCCACTCATATAGTAAAGACCTTTAAGTTCTGCATTTTCCTGCCCATACACCTTTTTATCAAAAATAAAAGGAGCCCCAAAACTAATGAATAAATAAAATGTGTTGAGGTTGCTTTGTAGGGTAGCCGTAATCGGAGAGAATAGCATCATCTACATTTTATTATTGCCTTCCCTTGACATTTTTTCATGATTGTACAACTGTTTTAAGCAGCTTTTACTTTCAAAAGGCTGAAAACTGTACTAGTTCAAGGGAGTGGAAATGAAAGTATCAGACAATCACAGGGTGTTCACCGCCACAAGATGGTGCTTTAGCCTCCTCGCCACAGCCTGGATGGAGCATAGACTGCACGTTGTCTGATATCGTGTCACAGTGGTTTCAGTTTCATATGAGCTGGAATGGTTGTGCCCAGGTGGAAAAGAGTTGCTCAACCACATGATCAGTGGAGTTGATCTGTGTTAGCAGTCTGTGAGAAGCCACCTGTTGGTTGTGGGCTTCCTCTCGCAGGTTCAAATCCTACCAACAATGTTGCCTAGTTTTCACTGAGGACGATTCAGTTCAAGTTGCAGTGTAATGAGTTGCAACAGCACATGGTCAAAAACCGGTTGTGCTCAGGGTCACCCATGAATCCCGACCTGTCACATGCCTTGCCACTGGTGGGGATTAGCAGTTGCATTTATCAGCCTGCATACTTCTTTTAATGAGTTGAACAGTCTTGCAAACCAATTCTGTGTTCTTCTGTAGATAGCTCAGCCAGTGAGCTAGGCATCTAATTATTAGTGTCCTGTTTGCGGGAGACAGTCAAAAAGGTTGTAAAATGTGTGTAGCCTATATGTTTTGACACATTGCTAACTTCAAAATGTTACAATAAATTCATTATTGCTATTAATTTCAACTTCTTACTTTAGAAGATAGCAGCCAAGCAATAGTAACTCTACAGTGCTCCTAATTTCTGGAACTATTTGAGGTCACTATGATCCACCATTACTGGAAAAATGAATGGGGATGTTGTCACTCTCCTTCTTAATCCACTCTGTATCCATCAAAGAACACCAAATTATGCAATGTGTATACTGTTATCAAGAGCTAAGTAGTAGGCTACCTGTAGAAACCATATGATGTCACGTCTCTGTGTAACAGAGGTGGTATTTATGTGATCTCAGTGTTTGGTACTTCATTCAGGACGCCGACACCATTCTGCCATCAGAAGTGAGGGCAGGTGTCCTCTAATGGAAAAAGTACACTAGTGTTCTTGTTCATTGTATTAGAATAAATAATGTTGTAGCCTAAACACAACGACGATGTATTAACCTGTATTTCTTTTTCTTAACAAAGCCTCCAAAAAAACTGAAACTTCACCCTCCTGCTTTTCGACTCCTGGGCACACCTCTACTTTTTACATATCTGTGTGCCTGCACAGCGCTCAGCAGCCCCAGTCAGTGTGATCCCTACAGTCTCCTGCTGACTTCGGCTCAGATCCAGTGGGCCGGAGGCCAGGGAGGAGCAGGAAAGAAATTTCTCTGAGTGCCTGATAATCTGCTCTTATCTGAGGTGGAGGAATGTGGTGAATGCTGTCATTAATGGACTTTGACTTACCTCTAGAAATGTCCCCACTTCTGCTGTTTAGTTAATGTTGTGTCGTGCACAGGTAGACGTCATATGCAGTGACCTGAGCCATCATAAAGAAAAAAAATTCCACCTTGTTTCCATAACAAACAAGGACACTTCAATCACATGCAAACATCATGTCAATAGCTGTCCCAATTCAGGGGACACATCCTTCGAAGGCTGGGAACCATTACATTTTGCCTCTGGAAAGGGTGGCACCAAGGGTGGCCAAGCAGATTCCGCAGGTGGCCGGTGCCATCCCTGGCTGCCTTCTGGCTCGGCCCACAACTAGCTGGTGAACAAAATGGAGCACACTGAAGCTCGACAGTCAGACATTACATGCAAGAGTTGGTGAGTCCTAAGCAGAAATTTTTAAAAAGTGATTTGTGAATTTATACCCTTTGTTAGGATTTAAGATGCAAGTGAAATGAAAAGGAGTAAACATCAGTGAGTCTCAGATGGCCTGGGGTTTATTTCAACTAAACAAACATCTTAAAGGACAAATATGCTCAAAATCTCATTCAGTGTCAGTCATGCAACAGCCAGTGTACACACACCCCCCCATACACACTATTCATACCCAACACCTACTGAACCTATCAGAGAGGCTCTGGAATCTGACACTGATCTTAAAGGTGCATAACACTTCATCTCCTTACTATTTTACCCAGCATGTTTAAACATGCAGGCTTGTTTTCCAAGGCATTCAAAGTAGTAATGTACATTCCACCAGATTATAATATTCCCTCCACTTGCACTTGGGAAGTTATCGATAGTGAGAGGAGAACTCTCGATGAATGAAATACCAGCTAAGTTAAACGGTTTTGGTGGGGGGCACTTGGCTGTCGTTTGGCAAGCATCGACGTGAATGACTGGGCAGGAGAGCCCTCACATTGACTTTATGATCAACAAACTGCACCTCAACTCATTTGGCAGGCAAGGACTGGCCCACCGGTTTGGAAATTGATGGTACTGGACACATGGGAACATTTATACTCACAGGAGCAAACGAGCACACATTCATATAAACAGGGCATTTCTTCACATTCTGAGGGTATTTGTGTAAAGCTCAGCACCTCGAAAAGTGGTCCATTAGCTTCCGAATTAATAGCATCACAGAAATCATTCACCACAGAAAACACATGGACACATGTCTACCTGTGTACAAGGCCACATTTAAGAGCGCATGTCTCTAACACACGCTGGTCTGTGAAAAGGGTCATTTAAACATCCATCACCATCTGTTTTGGTTCCAGCATGCCACTTTCCCCTCTGTGGGGGCCTTTGATTTAGCGACAAAAGTGTACCACTGCTGCCTTCCTTCCCACTGTGCAACCAAACGTCAAGTCTGAGATGGTTATACAGATTAAAAACTGCCAGGCATCCATCGCCTCATTGTAGGTACGACCACCTGTGTGGGACTGTTGGGGGCAAGCACAAGCATTAGTGCTCCCATTTAAACACTGATCAGTGAACCTGTTTGTTTGTGTCTTGCAGACAGCACGTGGCCTGGCTAGGCTGAGCAGGTGGATGATTAGTTCTGAATAAGTGAGTCAGATTTTTTTTTTTTAGAAGAAAACCTCTAACCAACAGCGTTGCACATGCTTCATACTGTTCATGCCTCATACAAAATCATTTAAGGGTGTGTGGCTAATCTCATCATCTTGCAGTTTTAATTTATGGCTTTCAAAGTGCCCCAGGATCCTAAAGCTCCACTAATCAATATCTGATATTAATAATGGATGAAGTGAAATATGGTCACTCAGTCACAAAGTAAGAGAGAATTACAAGCTGACTTTGCGGTCTCCCTCAGCTTTACAGGGATTTTTAACCTTTTTTTTTTACCCTGAATCCACTTTCATTAATCTTGTTTCCAACTGCAGCAGGCAGCTTTCTCACCAAGGCTTCTAATTAACCCACCGCACAGCACCAAACAGCAGACAAAGTGAGCAGCTCGCTGGTGAGCACAGCGAACCATTTAGCAGTGAAAGATCCAGCTATTTTTGGCTGTATTTACTCCTTGACATCAGAGCACAATGTCTCTGTCTCTGCTAGAAAATTGTCATCACAATCCCCATGAAGCGTTCCCCAGTGCGTTTCAGTTGCATTCTTGTAGTAATGTAGCCACATTACGAAGGCACCTAGACAAACGTGGCCTGGAACCACCTTCTGCATTGACAGGGACTGTAGTGCACAAAGTAGAGAGATGAAAAGGCTACTGTGTTTAAGTGTGTGAAGTATTGTTCTTGCCCACAATAAAATGTTCACTGCTGTCTCTGCATTTTTGTGTGCAAAAATACATTGTGTGTTAATGCTTTAGGTTACAAACCTGTTTGGTTACTTCTAGTAAAAGGAAAACAACATAGATCACTTATGCATAGGGATCTAAATAATCTGCCACATGAAGTTGTTTTCATATGCAAAGAAACTAGTTCACCTACCATTCTTGGAACCAACCAGCCACCCGGGGAGTTTGCCAACAGCCAGCAGTTACAGCACTGACACCGCCTGCCCCTCCAGGTAGGTTTCCCAGGATTCAGTGCTCATTCAGTCAGCGCAACTTGCAGCAGCATGTTTGTGGAATATGCTGGTTCTTGTTTCTGCTGCACCCAAGACCTGTTTCTACAGAATGTTTACAGTACGAGGTTATGATTATGAAATGTTTCTTTAGAAAAATGAGAAAGTGACTAATAGTAACTTTCAATAACAAGACAGAATAATATTAAATCAAGTCAACTGAAATTTTTGAAAATCTTCTGTGGTGTTGTTTAGTTTTAAACACAATGCTCACTTGCTGTACCTTAACTGTCAGAAGTAGGTCATGCACTTGCATTTCTTAGCCTCCAGAGGGCAAATACATCCTTTTCTTTAAGCTCACTTGTAAACACGTCAACACACAAGATCTTTTTAACGCATTCTCTAACAGCTTGTGTGTTTTAGAGTGAATTATATGATATGTAAGTGTAGTGAGGCAAAACGAGGGGACCTGTAAATAAATATCAAGCGGCGTTTTAAAATAGGTAGTGGAATGGCAACATTCCTTGATACAACACTGGCACTGTGTGTGACACGTGTACCAGGGCATTAGAATCACTAGAGGAAATGGGGACAGCAGAAGATGAGTTGCAGAGAGGGGAGGAAAAAAGGGAAAAGGGAGGGATGGAGACAAGGGGGAGCAAAGGAAAAGAGAGGAGGGGGACCATTTGGAAAAATGTCCGGATAAGAGCGTCATTCTCTCCGCTCTATCCCAGGGGTGAAAGGAAATGTCAGAGTCCAAGTGCTGGCAATGGGAGGTCAGACTTGTGTGTTGACAAGAGTGTGTCTCTGAGGAAGACCAGTGACAAAGACAGGGGCAGCGACACAGTCTGAAGAAGGACACTAATTTGAGTGGGCGTGTGTCCAGCACTTCCACTCTCGTCTGACAGGTCTGAAGCTTGTTGTGCGAGTAACCTCAAAAAGAGGTGTTAGTCTCGGATGGTGACATCGGAGTATCTGTCAAGAGCACTGAAATTCTCTTGGCACAAAGCTGAATCCAACTCATAAACTCATTTATTAACTGTTACAATAAACTGTAAAGACAGCAAAACTTGTTAACTGTCGTTCACAGCGAAGTAATAATCCAGTTTTAAAAAGATGCTTTTGTGAACATGGTTTGAACCTGAGGACTACTGTGGCCTCAGCATATTACAATAGTGTGTGTTTTCTGTGTGTACATAAGTAGTTGCAGAAAATCAAATCTTTTTTTAGGGGCGTGAAAACCTCGGTGGCCGGCCAAGCCTTTTTCATATCAGGCAAAATAATAATCCAATAAAACTCAGGTGTGGGCTTAAATGTGTTCCACAGTCTGCACTGATAAACTATTCTAATGCAGTAGGTTTTCTGCCAGGGAATTAATCACACATAGATTTACAGGCACTCACATGTTCCCGATAAACACCACATATTTATTTGATTTTAAAATATGTTAGATTGAAAGACTGAATAATAGATTTTACAATGATGGGGACAAAGACAAAGCCTGAGTGAGAGGTCTGGGCACTAGGCCAGGGCACAGATGAGCTCATTGTTGAAACAGGGATTTCCACATTTCCATGTCAGTCTGCCCCATGCTGTGACACAAAACTCAAAAACAAGAGAGGAGCGGAAAGGGGTGAATACAGGGCACACACGCCTGCCCACATGCTCATATGGAGGCATACACATACACAAGATGATACATGAGTTACTTTATATCAGTAGAGAAATCAGATGAGCTCCTGAAATGCACGAGAGACTGAACTGATTTGGATCATCATTTGTTTTGCTTGACACACAGGAACACACACACACATATCCATGTCTCTCCTGTACAATACAATCTAGTAGGCTACAGTTTGGTACAACACAAAAAGCCACCAACGAAAACAAAAGTAGCTTTTACGCATATTTTGAAAACGCAACCAGGCATGCACAAATAGCTGACAGACAAAATACACAGCAAGCAGGTGCTATACACGGAAGGACACACACAGCAGCTCTACCTCTGTCAATAGGGCTCGGCCTGCACGGTTTCCATAGCAATCACGCCCCTCCCTTTCGTTTGCAGGGGAGGTGTTTTCTGAAAGTTCACCGCGTGTTTGTGTGTGTCTCTATGGAAAGGCAGACAGTAAGGGGCGTGGATGTCGAATCAACTCCAACAAGTAAAACACCCTGCAGTCAGTTGTCAGCAGGAGCGGGTGATTGTAGTAACTGAGAGCCAGTAAAGCCACTGTATTACCCCATTAACGCGGGATAGTTGACCACCTGTGAACCATGGAAGAAGACGCGTCCCAGCCCCACCCCGAGCCCAGCAGCATCTCTGGCAGCACCCACACCATCCCGCAGCAGCAACCCGAAGGCCCGGAGCTCCTCATCCCGAGCTTTAGCCCCTCGTCCGCCCCGTCCTCCCCGACCCCGACGGGCACCCTTACACGACTTGGCTTGAAAAGTCCAACCAGCCCAGGTGCGCCAGGAAGCCCGGTCGACCGCGGCCAGGTGAGCGCAATCACTGTGGTGGCGCTGCTGGACAAGGTGGTCAACATGCTGGAGGCGGTGCAGGAGAACCAGCAGCGGATGGAGCAGCGGCAGTCCGAGCTGGAGGGCGCCGTGCGTGTCGTGCAGGGGGACGTGACCCGCCTGTCCAAGACCCACGTCAGCACCTCCAACAGCGTCAAGATGCTGCTCGAGCGCTCCCGCAAAGTCAGCGGCCAGCTGAAGGAAGTGAAGGAGCGCTTGGACAAACAGGCGGTGCACGTGAAGAAGCTGGAGGCAAACCACAACCACCTGCTGAAGAGGAACCACTTTAAAGTGCTGATCTTCCAGGTGAGGAAACATGGTGGCAGACAAAGAAAAAACATAGCCTAGTAATATTTCATATAGCATTGTAGTGCTGGGATTTTAAAGGGCCACTCCACCAGTTTTACACATGAAGTTCAAAGTATTTATCACCCCTGGAAACAGTTGGGCAGTATATTCTGGGGCTGAACAGTGAAGTGCAGCCCTGGTGATGTCACAGTCATGTCATCATTGTTATCTCTTTTTGGGCCATAAACATACTGGGCCATAAACATACTAGGCCGGTTTGTAGTAAGGTCTATTAGAAATCCTGCCTGTGAGCTGGAGGTGTGGGGGTTTAAGAAGTGGGTATTTGTAGGCCTCTCTCATCAGACACTTTGAAGTTGCATCATGGGAGATGTAGGAACCACTGATTTCATAACCTAATGGATGCTGGAATCTAAAAGTTGGGCTATTTCAGCTTCTGCTGTTTCAACTTAAACCATTCTTTACCCGTTCAGAGTCCCACAGTTTTATAAAGTGAAATAGCAAATGACTGGACTACCCCTTTAAAGTACAGGCATGTTGTATTTTCTTATTTAATATATTTGCATTATTATCATCTAGTGAGGATGCAGTGTACGGCGTGTGCCAGTCACATTTGCATTCTATTTGACTGCAGTACTGGGTGTGTTTGGATGTGCACGCCCCTGGTTGGAACTGACACATGATATGCTGTTGATGAACAGCACTACATTCCATTTTTAATGTTTGAGCTCAGTTTACAAATGCTGTGATGAGCTGTTTGCTGTTTTCAAACAATCTCTGTTACTAGAAGTATACACTGTGCTCACAATATACTGATCTGGTTTGTTAGTCTGACTAGAAGTTAGGATCCTAACTGTGTGTGCATCCAGAATGAGTCTTCTCCCTCTCATGTCCGTTGTGTGTGTCTGTGTGTTTGTGAAAGAAGAAGGGTGTGTCTGGGAATGGAGCTATAGAGGATAATAGAGGAGGGCTCAGACACTTTGACTGGATCTGTTTACACCCTACAGTCATAATTCAGACAGATAGTATGTGGATGGATCTTCCATTTCAACTGCCAGATAACACCAGTGAGGGCAGAACTCTATACTGGCACTGAAAGAGTGATCAACTTTCCCAATTTCCTTAGGAAATTATGAGTGGAAAGTATGAGGAATATTGTAACATAACCTCTCTCATCTATCACAAGACGTAGCTGAAACTCCTTCTGTTTTTATTGTAGGTAGAGGATGGACCTTAATGAATTTGTAAAGTCTTGTAATGCAGACAAAATCTGAGTTTATTTATCTATCAGATACAGTAAAAGCAGTTCCATGCTGCATGTGATGCTTTTCTACTTCATCAAAAACTATGATTGAAGAATGGTCTCTGAGTATTAAGAAAACAGGATTTTTTTTTAAAGCGTGTGTGTGTGTGAGTGTGTGTTTGCCTGAGCATGTGCGTACAAGTGTGTGCCGAGGCAGTGCAAAGGGGGGCCATTGTTGACACAGACAGAGCCAGCCAGAGCTCTTAACCACCGGTGTTATCTGGTTTCGCTGCTACTGAGGCCCTGTTCAAATGCAACAGGTGCCAAGACCTTACCCTGTGTGAGAAGGTTGTGTGTCTGTGGGTGAGGCATCGTGGATCAATTTGGATTGAATCTCTAGTTACTTTTTATGTGCTGTAAGGGAGTGTCCTGTTGCTTTTGAGATAATGATTGGACAACGCTGTTTGCTTTCAGCACATTGTCAAATACCACGTCCTGTGGATTTAGCACATTATCAGTTTGTCTCCTTTGTATGCAGAATGCAAATGAGTTTAAATGTTTTGTACTTCATCTTTATTATACAACATTATTAGTGTGAAGGAGTAGCTATACTTTAAAGTTTACTGTTAATGACTACTGTAAAGTTTACAGTACTCACAGACTCCAGTTAAATGTGCTTCTGTGGTTTCTACTGAGTTTTTACTGCTCCACTTTTAAGTCAGACTAAGCAAAGCATGTGTAGTTGGGTGTGACAGAGCCAGGTATGACCTCAAGGGCATGTATGACCTGCATGTGAGTGCGTGCAACTTGGCCATTGGATGTAATGCTGATGTGTCGTGTCAGGTGTATGCTGTTACAGAGCCGGGAAAAGAGACTTGGCCTGCCTGGAGGGGGTCGAGGAATAAAGGAGCTACATGGAGCCCTCATTCCTTCTCCTGTGTTGACTCTGTGTCTATTACTGTCTACCTTCAGTATCTCCTGTGTTGACTCTGTGTCTATTACCGTCTACCTTCAGTATTGCCTTTTACAGTATATCTTTCTCCATCTGATGCTGTACTCTAATTTTGTTGTCTGTCTGTCGTTTTATGCTCAAATGTCATCATTTTCCTCTTGTTTCTTATCTTTTATACAAACTCCAACTTCCACGTGGCCAGTTTTTCTGTCTGTGGTCTCGCCACCTGTCCAGGTTCCCTGAAACTACACCCAAGCACATGTTGTTTGCCTCATGTTACTGTTTGATAACACAGATTTGCTGCACATGCAAGAGCCAGACTCCCTACGCCAGCCCTGTAGCCGTTGGCTGAGGTATCCTCCTCCTCATCCTCTCTCCACTTGACAAAATTGAGCCAAAACACTCATCACCCTGTACGTGCCAGCTGAGGTGTAAATACAGAGGGCTTCTGGGTAAACGGCCACTGTTGTACGGAGCAGGGGTCTGTACCAGCTCCAGGCTTTAGCTATGGATCATCAGAAAAAACAGCGCTGTCTGCTGCTCCGCTGCATTCTTGTGCATAACGAGGACTAATGAGGACTTAATTACAGCTGCTTGGACCTTGTTTGTTTGTTTTTTTTTACTTTTCCTGTTTCCCCATGATCCTCGATTTACAAGCCTTTCCCCTGCATACACTAATATGCACTTGCAAAATGGTCCCAGTTGCCAAGCTTCTGAGATTCCAACATGTGCAGTTTAGTGACTGTTTTTGTAACTGTGGTTTGGAAAGGTAAGGTGGTGGATTGCAGGTGTATTCTTTTTCTATTTGTCACTCATTTTAGTCTCTGAAGCTTGGGAGAGTAGAAATATCAGTGATCACCCTGCAGATCTTTTACAGTAGCTGATCTTATTTGCAGTGCACCTTAGGCATTCTCTGACCAGAGGAACCTTTTCTTAGTTCTTAGAATTTCAGTTGTTCAGTGTTCCTACTGGTGGTGTGAATGCAAAGGGAAAAATGCCCATGTAGGAAGGTTGTTCTTGGGGTAGCTCCCCAGTGGGGTAGTCTCTAGAACTGTTGGTCCAAAAGTGCCTCTTGATTCTCCAGGTCTCTGAACTCTACTGGAGGTTATGAACACCAAAAGATCTGCCAAAGATATTCCCTCATGTAGTGTTTTGGTGACAGTGGTGTCTAACATGTCACTCCAGAATCTCCCATAGGTGTTCAACTGGACTGAGTTCTGTGAAGGCCATAGCATACAATTCACACCATTTTCATTCTCCTCAGACCATTCAGTGACCCCTCATGTTTTATGGGTAGGGGCACTGTCATCCTGGAGGAGATCACTCATTTATTCAGGGTTTTCCTTTTTTCCTGGCACCCATCTATATTTCTGAAGCTCTTCATCTCTCCATTTCTGTTTATTTCACATTGGGAAATAAACAGTGTGATGAACTGTGTTTGATTGCTGTAAGAATTTCAGTTGTTCTCATTAGGTCTCTAGTTTTTTTTTTAACTTGGACCTTGAGTCTATAATATCATTCATACATTCATTCATTCATTCATTCTCTATCTGCACATGTGGGTCTGAATCAGAGTTGTGCTACAAGTTTAGTAGTGAGAAGGCCTTTGTGCAGATCTCCAAGGTGTAAAGTAGCAGAGTGACAGGAAGTGACAACAGTCAGAGCTCTCACACACCATCAAAGAGCATTCAAAGAGAAACATGTTTAAAATTAAACACTGACCGCAACTTGATCTGCGTTAAACCCGGAATGGAGTGAGAGTTGCTCCTGAAAACAGCTTTTGTTTCTCAGTTTTCAGTGATAATTCTAAGTGGTATGCATGTAATACATTTAAAATGAATTCATTATGAAACATTGATATTGTGAAACTTCACTACATCTTAACTTGTCATTCAGTACAGATTTCTTTCTAGGGCACTGAGTGATTGGATTAACTTTTTGTCATTTTGTTTGCTTTGCTAGCAGTTGTCCCAGAGCTTTTGCATGTGTTGACACTTGACCAAAGTTTGTTACTTAATCTTGGCTTTCAGCAGCAGGAAGTCTGTTTTTCCCACCCTAAGATGGAGGACAAACTTTTTAGTTTTGCTCCTAGCCTCGCCCCAAATGCTAACCTTCATTGTAGTTAAGACACGAGTTCAGTAACCTGGACTTAAATAAAGCTATGTAAATGCCTAATAACTAACCTCTAAGGTCCTAATTTGTGTATATAAATGAATGTGACACATAAGCTGTACTGCAAGAAAGCCCCTTTAAGACAATCTTGGAAGATACGACAACAAGAAGCACAGGGGTAAAGTTGAGCACAGAACACTTATTCACCTAAACCTGTTATGTTAATGTTAAATATTTGAGTTTAATTAGTGTGCGTGTGTTCAACATAGTCTTAATTTTATCCCTTGCCACAGGTTGGAGCAGGTCTCTGGCTGTAGGCTGCAGCTGTGATGTGTTGTGTCCCTCACTAGCAGGTGATATATTGCACTAGCTTTATGACCCAGAGCGATTCATTCAGTCATGTTGAGCCCACATATTACTAGGGTTTAACCCATGAAGATGTTTATGAGGGTAGTTAACTCATGGACGGACCAGGAGAAAATGAGGCCCCTGAGCATAGACAGGTAAAGAGTCTCCCACCCCTCCTATATACAGCCCCAGGACTGAAAGACACACACAAAACAATAAACAATGCAACATTTGCAGTCATCCTGTGTCTCTTTTTGGTGTTTTTTTTTTTATTTATTTATTTTTTTAATCTTTGTATTAATTTTGTGTCTTTCTATAGTGGTCTGTAGTGGTGTCTTGTTGGTA